GTGGTGGTGGTGGTGGTGGTGGTGGTCTCTGTTCTTATTGACTCTGTACACTAAAGATGACAATGACAGACGCAAGGAAGCTTTGGCACAGCTGGAAAGACACCGTCGATCGTAATTAATTTAAGTCGGTGTTTTGAGCGGTCCCAGATTGTCTGTCATAACAGTTATTAGTAAGCATTGCTCACCGACATGAGTCACAGTGTTGTGTGCCATTTACATCGTAGCCGTCTTTTGGGATAACTGGCTAACTTCTCGATTTGCCCAGGAGCTGAATGGCTGTTGTGGCTGCAACAGATGGCTAAGGTCTTGTTTTTGGGATTAGAATTTAGAGTATGGGGGCGAGGGGTGTCTATGAATAAAAATTGCTACTACAAACCATAGCTAATTCATTTCAGTTATTATAACTGATGTTTCATCACAGTGAATTCTTAAAGCATGAATACACGGGATTCGAATCTTTTCCAGTCTTCGGCCGTGGCAAGAATAACGCAATTGCAAAATCAAAGTAAAAAAAAAAGTCAAGTGAAGCGCCATGAATTTCATTCGGTAGTTCACTGGCAGGAAGAATTTGATTAAGTTGGTTCTGGTATGCTCATAACATTACATCCTGAACGTCGTATGGTGACTACAAATAAAGTGAGCAGCTCGTTTTAGAAGCCGCATGACGTGTTTTATCTCCTAGCTGAAACCAATCGCTGAATATCACCAGCACGTGGTGAGACTTTGGGAGCTTTGCTGATGTCTTGCAAAGTTCTGACGGCTAAGCATATCTTACAAAATCCATGATTTTACTCGCAGGCTGCCGTAAAAGGTTTGCCATTCATTCAGTGGGCAAAACCGTTCACCACCGATGAGCCCTCGTTTTTGTTCAGTGTACTTGAACTATTATATCGGTAGTGTCTGTAGTTACACCCTAAGTTTGTATTACATTTTCACTGTATTTATAAGGTTTAAAAGGTATTCACCGCGCTCTAAAAACACCTGGGTCAGACTGACCCGGAATCGGGGTCCCATTGAGCCTGACCCTTTTCCGCGTCAAATTGTGACCTGTTTTGGGTCATATTTGACCCAGATTCCGGGTCAGTCTGACCCCAAGTGTTTTTAGAGTGTGGAGATGGGTACTTTTTGGATCATGGTTTAGCATGTTATTTTGCATGATATTGTCTGAGGCAGTTAAAGACCTCCTCAGTGATTTCCATAAATATTGCAATAGCAGCACAAGTTCTTTTTCAGTGGAAATACTCATTTTCCACTGAGATCAAAATCCAGGATAGCAAGTAAAGTAAGCCCCGCGTGCTCTTTATATATCTACAGCAGGGGTTAATGTTACATTTTCCTTACTGATTTCGTTAATAGTTCGGTTACTAACAAGCCTGTTCAGCATTTCAACACTGAGTCCATGCTCAGAATATAGTGCGTCGTAGGTCATTCGAAAACATCAGAGGCGAGCGCGCGCGGTCGGCTTGATCAGCTCGGCAGTGCACCATAGAGATCTCACTGCCGCACACCAACTCACAAGCAAGGAACACTTCCTGGCTGGCATACGTCAGGTGTTTATTCTCGAATGACCTTACCAAACTGGCCATCTGTTTTTCTGCTCTCAGAATAGTAGAGATTAAAGCAGATTTTAAACGTCTTTGTAACATGCAATTTTCGACTTTTCTACTACCTGAAAAACAGAATAAAATTTTTTCTAGAAATGCATTTTTTCCATTTGTCGTGTACGTCGTGTTAGGCCGTCAAAATGGCCCCGGGGAGCAATTTTGACAGATAGGCAACACTTGGCGAAAGTACTGGCGCATTATAGAAAGGCGCCTTTATGTGTCCGTAACAAAGAAACGTACGAACGCATCATGTATGCAACGCATCGAAAAGACATACACAATGGAAAAGGTGCTTGTAGTAACATCTGTTTTCCCGGCAGCAGCACAGTAGAACGAACAGTTGCCACAACGTTCAATCCACTTGTCTGCTTGCCCTAAATGGGAAAAAGCATACGGCCATTTTTCAGCCCTCTTAGCAAAATCTGCTTTTCCGGTTTCCCACAAGCAGCTAACGAGCGGTTGTTAGAACACTCATCCAATTTCCCGTTTTGCTTTATTTTTGAAAGACAAAAAGCAGATGGCCACTTTTCAGCCGCCATGGAAGATAGGAAAGTAAAATCTGCTTTTCTTGTAGCAGAAAAGGCAAAAAGTAAGAAAAATGCATTACAACAAAATATTCATTCAGGTAACAGCAACGTGGAAAATTGCATGCTACAAAGACATAATTTTTTTAAATTTTATTTGATCTGAATGAACCAACTGAGCTTAATACGGCCGTTTCACAAGAGTGCGCCACTAAGAGTTTGCAACGCGTTGGCCAATCACAAGGCGCGAAATCTGTTCACCAAATGCGCGTTTGGAAAGGGTTGACAGATTTCGCGCGTTGTGATTGGCCGACACGCTGCAGCTGCACACTCTAGGTGGCGCACTATTGTGAATCGCCCGTGTGGGTAATAAGCAGAAAATGAGAGGGCCAAGATGTACGAGGAAAAGCATGATGTGCTAATCAACACTGTAACACATCTATGTGTGCTCTCGGCAGGAATCCTTCCAAGGGGACTGCCCGCTGGCCGGACAAGTTATCTGGACTTCTCAGACCAATTTCGAGCTGGGCGCCAGCGATGGCCTTCGCTGCATGTACATCGTCGGCATTCAAGCCGTCGCCGCTGCTGTAGCCTTCGTTTATGTCCTGTACAGAGTCATCTCGCTGTGCTGTGGCCGATTTGACTTGTAGGTATCCATTTTCAATGATAATTTTGTTTCAGGGTACTGCTGTAATGAAACAAAAGCCCTCCGCCAAATGCAAAGGCACTGTGACGCATAGAGTACCGAAGTGAATACGTCACGCGCACAATTAGTGTGTAAAAGGCTTGAGCGCGTGAACCAGCGCGTGAATCAACACGCGCGCGTACTCCATTCGTTTGCACTACACTTTCTGGTTCACAGTGACGTCACACTTCGGTACTCTATAGACCTAGGTGTGGAAGCCTATCCGCTCCAAGCGGAACAAAATAATGCGTGGGGGGGTACTCACCGCGTAGGCGCGCCATGAGGTGCCCAAGTATATGCGCGTTTGCCGCAGAGCACGCTGAGTACGCGTAACTAATTTACTCCGATTTGTATGGTCTCTGCGTATGCGCAGAACGCGTGCAAGAACCCGCTTGTAACCGCCTGCCTTTCTTTTCCCCAATTGGGGGTGTACATCAGCTCAGGGCGGATAGGGGGAGAATGACGACAGTCTCCAGGTGGTGGACCAAAATCTGAAATGATACCCCTGGCAAAACCATGCAGAATCAGATAAGGACTGAAAAACCAAGTGCACATGCTGACCTCAGCTGGATACGAACCTGGGGCACAGAGATCAAAGGAGAGGAAATTTCACACTGCAACAGGTTGACCAGCCAAGTAATGTGTTTCGAAGGAAACGTAGTGATTACAAGCCAGAAAATCTCGTCGTCGGGAGTCGTTCATTGAAAACATTTCTGCCCGACGGCCATCTCGAAAGTATGACTGAGTCAACCAATCCCAGCTCTGGGTTCAGCTGCGGTTGGTGGTCACACAATTGAAACGCAATTTTAAGCACTAAAGACGCCTAACCGCAGACTACCAAGCGAAGTATAGTGACTGATTCCACCTGGGTCTTTAGTGTACCCCAAATTTTTAAAGATGAGAATAGGAAGAAACATTCAGGTCACAAAAGAAAATAAAAATCGTTGAGCTCATTTTAACAGGTTTCTATTGTAATAATGGCTGTTAGTTTTTAATTATTCTCCCCCATGAAGATTCAAATTTCGAATTCCACAGACACCTTTGCTAGAATACTTCATAGTGACTTGAAGCTGCGAGCCATCACGAAGTGTTTGAGTCCTCTCTAGGACAGCAGAGCGACTAGTAATGGAGTGCATCGATCCACACTGGTATAATTCTCATATCGGTTGGTGTCACGTTTTTTTTTGGCCACACAGCTCCATTATGCGAATCATCTGTGTCCCCCTCTACAGCATCATGGCCATCCTGATCCTGGGAGAGGCCGCCGTCGTGTCCCACGGGCTCAACGCGCTCTGCGACGGCTTCCGCTCCCTGCAAGTTGTGACCGCCAACTATGAGTGAGTAAAAGCACTCCCTCATCGGTTGAAAACAGTCATACCGGCGGGTATATTCATTTGGTTGGTATGGCGACCGCAACGCTTGCATTTTATGCCAGTATTTGTTAGTGAGCCAGCGAAATGCAGTTGCCATCAAAAAGAGCCTTTATTGGTCCCGCTGGGTGGGGGGATAGTGTCGGGGGGTCAACTGACGACAGAACGTAAGATATGTGTTATGAACATGTTTTTAAATCTTGGATCCGTCTGTAGGCACTCTTGGGTTCAGTAATTTAAGCCCCGTTTGCATGGCCCGTCTGGTTTTCATGAAAGGCAAGTTCGGTCGAGAACAAAGCAGGCGCACGGGTGCATATGTTTGGCTGCTCTGGAAGGGGCATACTATCAGGCACGGGTACTGTTGTTCCCGAATGACCTCGCAGGAATGTTTCTGGGAAGCTACGGTTTCACATGCCTTCGACAAGAATGGAATCGAGAAGTAGACTGTATTTTGAAACTACCAAGCTCTCACAAATGCAGCTGCACTGACCTGATTGCGTTACTCCATTTCTTCTCTGCATACTCAAAGCTGTGAGCTGTTTCAACAGGTCAACTGGCACATTTACGATGGATCCGGTTTCTATGAGGACTTCTCAAAAGCAGAGGTGAGAACTGAACCATCATGCACATATTCTATTAACTCAAGGTCTCGATGCTGTGCCATCATCGCTGCTCATTAAAGTTACTTTTGAAATCGGGTCCAGGCATGTGCACGAAAAAAAAACCCAGTTGCAAGGCATGTTTTTAACTGTTTGAAGTTACCCAATAGAGCCTGAAAGTAAAAGGTCATGCTGCGAGCTTCTGGAACCCTCGTGCAGTCTGCCTATGGGGATTTTACATTGGGCAGACCTACCTATCTCGTTCAATAATTGTTGCAAGAGTAATTCCTATTAGTCAAAACCACCCCACGAAACACTCATGTTGGAATTTTTACCTTTGTTCCTCAAGTAATATTTTGGAAAAGTCACTTGGAGATGATTAAAAACGACCTTTTTAGTCCGGCGATATCGTACCTAGGTCTCCTTGTTCACTCCTCATGCTTTCGTAAAAAAACGAGATGATTGTACACCGTTGCAAAGCTTCACCTACCTGCAGTCGATGGGTTCCAGATTCCGTTGAGTTGTTATCAGCGAAAGGTTAGTATAAGAGATTAGAATCTTTCCTAAAATTAGAATATTGCGTTATTACCTTTGATCTGTTTTTATTACGGCTTTTACCGACAGACAACCATAAAATTTCAAAATGAAAATGTTTATCTGCGTACGAGACTGCCGCATTGCACTGTTCTTCATGAATTTTAGATTTTCGGAAGTGATGGGCCAATTTCTGGCAGGAAATTTCTCTTTTAGGTGATTTTTCAGTTTTTATAGATTGATGTACTAGCCAATATTTTTCAAAGCCCCTTTTCCGAGTTGGATATTTTTAGAAGAAGCTGAACAAAAAAAAATATTGCAAATTCTTAAATCTTTGCACGATATTTATCCTATCCAAGGGTTCCGGAAGCGCGCCATCAGGGGTCAACTTTCAGGATCTATGGGTTTTCACAGCAGTGCGCCTCCAAGAGTTTGCCACGCACTGGCCAATTTGCCAATGCGTTGCAAAATCTTGGGGGCCAAGTATTAAGGCCGTCCCCGACTTAGGCCTACCTGGCTGAGGTTGCATATAATATACGCGCACTTATGGAAACCACTGGCTAACAACTTCACATGTGGTTTTTCCCCCAGCCGTATAGTCAAATAGTTCGCATTTGGGTTCAGTCAATTTAATAATCGGTCAAGATATTGACACACTGATCCATTTGTTCCGTGACCGATTAATAACATCCAGTGCTTTCATCATCAATCATTGGAAAGAGGTCGTGCATGGCCCTCATCAGGTCTACTCAAGTGTACTCAAGAACAAAATTACAGCCAAAAATGGCTGCCATGCGTGTAAACTCTTTAGTAGATGTGTCAATCAGCCATTTGGTCAGTCAGTCCGTTGATTGGTCTCCCGTCCTTTTACCAATGAGTCGCTCAATCAATTGGTTTTTCTCAAACACCCTTTCAGTCTGACACCGGTCCAACATTTCCGGTGAAGGAGAGCCATTTTCACGCTTTATTGTTGTTAATTGATTTGAAGAATATTTCTCTCAATTTCTCCGCAGAAATCTGGTTGGGTGTCGTTTCTCGCCTGGGTATCTTTGGTCGCTGTGGGTGTGCTGCACTGTGTAGCTGAAAGACCCGAAAGCGGATTTACTCCACCAAACAATGCAAAATAAAGTCCCAAGAACAGGGAATTAAAGGACAAGGTCAAAAGTAAATTTCCATTCTTTTCTATTAACACCATTTTTGTCTGTTACCCAGGAGAATTTCTTTCCTATAAAAAAGTGGCTTGAATTACGAGTCGCGATATATGCAGTGTAAAATACTTTTGGAGGACCGTACGATCGTATTACTGACTGGCACATCGCCTACTAGTAAAATTGTTTCAGGAAAGAGCTTTCTTTACCTGTGAATTATTTGGACTGTAGAAATTACGAATCCTAAAATGGCTTTTAAAATACGGGTGGTTCAAAATAGTGCGCCACCAGGAGGTTGAAACACGTTGGCCAATCATCACGCGTGCAATTTGTCGACTTTTTCTAAACGCACATTGGGTCGATAAATTTTGGTCATTGTGATTGGCCAACGCGTTGCAGACTCTTGGTGGCGCACTTTTGTGAAACGGCCGTATTGCTGACAGCTAAAGTGCGTGGATTCGAGTCTTAAAGCGGAGGGACAAGGATCATGAAATTCATTCTGTCTCAAACACTGCGTCGATATTTTAGCAATTATGATTTTTTTTTCGAATGATCTTATAAAACAACCTGAAAGCCACTGAATCCAGAGATCAGTTCGATTCAGAAGAGCGAGCTTGAATTCGACATATCTGGTGTCAAAACGCACTTTGTCCACACGTTATTGGCCGAGTTTACACCATTTAGCAAGCACAAAAACACTTATCGGCATTTTCAAGGCTGGGTACAGGAGCCCGCCTCATAGCATAAATTCTGTTGGTTGGTACAACAAATTTCATAGCAATAACCAGCAACACAACGTTCAGTTCAAATCTCTAATAAGCTTATTTAAAATTCACCAGGCCTTGGGCTAACTTCCCTCCTGTAATTACACAGACTGCACTGTAGTGTGCAATAAGCACTTTCAACGTATAATTATCCACAAAGAAGTTGGCACATTTCTTGCTTCACCAGTGCAGCCTATACAGGGATATTCTTGACAAGGTATGCAAGATACAAAGCAACTCTATTGGAAAAGTATTTCAACAATTCACCCGCACTTCAAGCAAAATAGCATTGATAATCATGCATTCGTCTATTGGTTTTGGGGGTAAAGGGGAAACTTTACTGTTGGATGCTATACTTGTACGAAACGATGTATGTAATCCAGAAAATAGGCCATAAGTGTATCATCATAAATTGTCAGGTATAGAACATTTTATTTGGCAATTTAAGAAGTATTTTTTCCACACAAATAAAAGTTACTGTAGCGGAATAACAAGACGAGTAAGGTATTGTGCATGGCATAATTATCGTTTTTAATATGTGGAACGATTTAATCTGTATAACGGGCACTTCCAACATGCCCACAAATAAAAATTATTTCATGATGTAAAACTGGTAAATGATTGTCTCCATCGGTTCTTGATATGCTGTTCCCACTGGTCTTAACAGAATGACGTAGCCAACAAAAAATAAGTATTCGATTTCGGTTCTCTGAAATAATTTCAAAATTACAAAAGATAAAATGTGATTGAGGCACATCTTTCTGTCTATAAACAAAACCACGTTTTAAAAAATTGCAAAATGAGCCAGTTCGATATTTCAAAAAAGCAAGGTCATCCAGGAACAAAGCACGCGCGCGAATCTGCATAGGCCGCGCCACTGATCTCCATTAGATAGGTCTGACATCGGACGCGCTTCATTTTGGGCATGCGCTGTAGGAATACCAAACTGGCTCATTGCATACGTAACGTGCGCACGTAATGAGATGGCACAAGACATAAACCCGCTTCTCGGTGCTTAGCAGTAGACAAATGTGGACCTCTGTTTTCACCATAATTAATGTTATCGAGTACCGAAGTGTGACGCCATTTTGAACAAGGAAGTGTCAACCTTGTTCCAGTGGGTACGATCTTCCTTTCAAATTTGAGCGGTGTCTTTGGACCCAGTCTGGATCACTCGGAGTTCCACCAAACTCGTGGATCTTGCGTTGGTCCATCTGGCATTCGGTCCACTCTTCGGCGGTTCGGCCCCCTGCGGTACCTGTCGGCCTTCAGGCCGGCACATACGCCCTCGGATGTACGCCCGGATCTTTTCCTTACCCGGGATCAGCAACATCAAGAGGTCGGAGGTCACGAAACACGCCACAAGGACGACGAGACTCCACGTGTAGTCGCCCTTCAGCTCGAAGAGAAAACCTGTAGACGACGTTGAAAAATATAAATCAAGCAATCTTAATCATGTTAAATGGGGGCAGAAAGCACACAGTGTTGGTCGAGGATACCGTGCATGATAAGGGGCCGATGGGTACCACCCACATGTCCAATCCCTATACACACTCTAGACTATTGTTACGTAAGACCCCCCCCCCGAAGTCTGTAAAGAATTCATGAGATTCCGATCAAACAATGACCACCACAAAGGTGGGGACGGAGGTTGTCTCCGCCCCATATCTTGCATCATATGTGGTCGAGTCCACCACAAGCCCCCAAGAACGCCGCAAGTCCACAGTATCTTGTGTTCATTTTAACACCATAGTTTGGGCAGTGTTATGACATTTCAACAGTTACCAGTCTCTCGAGATAGTTTGGAAATCATGGAGCCTCTTTTTCCCCAGCCGGTGATGATTCAAGAATGGAAACCTAATTTGACTTCCTTTTAATCAATGATATTTTTAAGTTAACATCGCTGCAGATAAGTTTTGGATCTACCTGTGATTGGTGAGCCGATCAAAACTCCCAAGCCGAATCCCACCGTTGATACTGCAGTGGCTACTCGGGAGCCGTAGCCGCAGAACAGTTCGTCGCTGGCTGAGAGGTTAGTTCCGTAGATTCCGCTGCGGCAGATGCCCCAAGCTATCGACAAAGAGAAGAACTTGCTCAATGCTTCCAGAGCTATGTGGCTACCTCTGTTATCAGTGCATCCCCACGTATTTATCATAGGCCCTGTAGGCCCATCTCTTCAGATAACAGATTCGGATGCAGTTCAGCCGAAAGGCAGACAAACGCCACCTCCGCCCTGCCCCCATCCCGGAAGCAAGTTTTTATAGTCCAGCTACACATGCAAAGAGGTAGGCATCGTTGAATACCGTCCTGCTGAAGTGGCATGCAACCGGCGTTGGACACACTCGGCATGTCTTGCTAAAGTCAACTTTAACATTAGTCTTGAAATAATAATTTGTGCATACATTTCAGATCTATTTGTCGCCAGGGCCATCCTTGAAGCAATCTCATTGAATTGTTTTGCATTTTTGCCTGGGCGTGCTTGTCGGCGGCGAACTAAGAAAAGCAAAGATGTCATTTCTGAGAAACAGAAGAGTGAAATAAACATCTCACTCGTTTCGAATTTTTTTTCTTTGAACGTCCTTTTAACTATTTTGTTATAATTTATTATCCAATCTGAATTAAATTTAAGTGGATTTAATTTAATAATGGGCCATGTGAATTTTTTTTATAGGTTTTTTGCTCTTGCGAAGTCCTACTACCAAGAGAGCATTCAAAAATGAATATAGACGGAGCAGGTCCACACCTACCAGTCGACAGGGCAATCATGTGTCCGAATGTCGAACAAACCAGCAGGAAGCCCGACACGATGGCGCCGCCCGTTGAGGTGGCAGCGATTAAGTACAGCTTCCTGGCTGGAAGGCGGTCACCGAAAATGACGAAGAGGATTTTGAAGGCGACCTCCGCTGCGCCGAAATCAACAGAGCAATGGACATCTGACTGACTGACAACCCTAGCCCAGCCATAAAACTAGACTGCAAGGAGAAGAGAAAAAAATTTAAAAGGGGGTTCACACTGAGAACAAAAATAAATATACGTGTATTCTACAGTTTTATATCATAGACCGATTACTAATCAAAACTCTTTACTTCTTTCTCGAGAGCCCTCGAAGACAGCACTAGGCCTTGAGCAGAAGCACCCCCTCATCGATTGAAATGAGCTATGTTGGTCGGGAGTGTTCATTTTGCTGGTAGCGACGCGACCGTGACGCGTGCATTTCAATGTCGTTTTTGTAACCAGCAAAGCGGAGTTCCGACCAAAGCTGGCGCTAGGAAAATAATTGCACACTCTGCTGGTCTAGCCCAGGGCTTATACGGTACAGATCAGAGTAATCACGGACAAAGAAGGTCTTCCTCGGACCGGCGAAATTGAAGACGTTCCTATTAGACCTGTTCACATTCAGCTGAGAGATCGATCGAAGTTTCGTAAATGACGGTACTTACGTAATTGACAATGACGAAGGACCATCCCATCTGGGCGAATGTTAAAGACGATACGAATAACCAGATATCTACATTCAGAAAAGGATTAGGTAGCATGGCAGTGTCGGCTTGGCAGCGGCTGCCGTCGTTGTCGTCATTCGTCGGGCCATGACACTTTAATTTGTCAGTTTCAAGGTCCTCGTTTTCATCTCCAGACCCTTCTCTGTTTTCTCCCACGACAGGGGACGGGCCGTCCTTTCTGGCTTCCTCCTCTGCCATCTCCGGCCTTGTCCTCGGAGACTTTATGAAGGGCAACGAGGCCGCCACTCCGAGGACTAAATTGGCACCGCTGATGATTCTTAGGCAGTTCCTCCAACCTAATATCACACTCAGGGCGTTCATCAGTGGTCCCATCAGCATGATGCCTCGAGAAAAAAATATCAAACCACCCTAACGTTGCAGCCTATAGGTCAGTTCCAATGCGGGCGTTTAACAAGAGTGCGCCTCCAAGAGTTTGCAACGCGTTGACCAATCACAGTGCGCGAAACTCACAGTGCGCAACAGACTTTACGGACTGTGATTAGCCAACGCGTTGCAAACTCTTGGAGGCTCACTATTGTGAATCGCCCGTATTAGCCAGTACTGGGGACATTTACATTGCATTTTTCTGTACTCCATCAATTGTTTACTTAAAAAGGTGGAAGTTGGTCAGTATCCCTAATGAATTTTAACTGAATGCTTTTGGTGCTTCATTTTTTTTTATTTTACTTTTTATTTTTCCCTCCTCGATGCATCGAACAAAACGCGAGTGTATAGAGCATTTGTCTAAGGTGTATGAATACTAAAACCGTCCGTTTTGCACTAATTTTATGCAAGCTGCGACCTTCCTCACGTGAGATACCTTGAAAGGTACTAAGCCTATATACATCATCCAGTTTTCAAATATTTGGCAAACCGGCTGGCCTAAAATCGTCAAAGTGATCATCCCGATACACCGAAAACCCCAACTTTGCTTTGTAAAACGGGTGTAACGATGTTATCGGCAAAGAGCATCGTTGGTTTTTTGCAAAAGCGTTGGTTTGTTTTCGACATAGGAGAACACTGTGGGCACAGGGTCTATCACACCCCCCCTTTTTTGTAGAGCGGTGCGCTTCTGATAAACAAGGACGAAATAACGATGGCAGTATTTTACCAACGGAACAAAACGTTAAGGCGATCCCAGTCGCTCGACATCGGTTCTTGCCGTGACTCGAGACGCAGCCCAGCAACGCGCTCCCTGCGGCGCAGTAGGCGAAGTTGCAGCCTAAGCCCACCAGCAGTCCGAAGGTTAGGAAGCCATAGTCAAGCGAGGAGATGAAGGAAGTGGACAGGTAGCTGACCGCCTGCAAGAGCGTGCCGACTAGGGCCAGCCGGGTGTTGCCCAACCTGGAGCCCAGGACCACGGCCAGAGGGGACGCCACGCAGTAGAGGGTAGCGGCCAGGGAGCCTACCCAACCTGGAGATGTGCATGAAGCGCGGAAAGAGGGAGGAAGGGGTTACTGGAAACCAGCGATTGAAAACAGGTTTGAATGGGATAGGAAAGTACACCTGCGAGGATTTACGAAGACACCTTTCAGCTGAACCATGCATCCTGAAAATCTCCGTTGAAACAAAAAAACTAAAAATCCACAATTGACCGACTTTACCTGATCTATAATCGACGAAACAGATTAACTAGAACCCATAAATACACCATGTACACAGTATTTTTTCGCATTTAGGCTGGAGTCCCTGCTCTATGCCACGCTTTTGTGCATCCTTTTGGGAAGGGGGAAATGCAATAGACCCCCAAATCACCTTTCTCTCATTATTTAGAAATGAAAATGCTGAGGATGTACCCTTATACCCTCGATGCAATACATCGGACGCCGGCAAAAATAACAATGGGCGTGCACGGAATAGAAAACAACCGGTACACAGTGAAATGTGCCCAGGTTCCCTGATCTTGACATTCGTGGTTACGAGGTTGTACTCGCAGAATAATGCCGACCACAGACAAACTCACCGGTGTAGAGAGCTCCTTTTTGAAATTCCTCCTCAAAGTAAACAAAGAGGACATTGTAGTTGTAGAGGATGCCTGCTATGTACCGAGAAATAATGGAAGCAAACAGCGGCAATGATGACAATTTTCCACAATCGTTCCAATGCCATTTTGTGGTCTGTGTTACGGCGATGGTTGCGTGGGACCGTATTTTAACCGCGGCTGTGGGAAAAAAAAGAGGTGGTTTGTTACAACACTGTGCCTCGCAGGGCTGAGTGGTTGCAATGCGTTTCAAGCATTATTAAAGGCCGTGTCTTACTTCACGCGAATTCGAAAGCGAAGCAAATTTGACGTCATGATATGCATTCAACTTTTAGGAATTCACAACGCGAATGACTGATCTGACGTCACAGATTCGCGTGAATAAATTTGCAAATCTTGCCCAGAGAACTTACAACCTACATGCATGTTTGGGATACAAAAAGTATATTAAGGTTTATCAATTACATAACTGGGTTTAATTAATACACGCGTAAATACTGATTCGACAGTGGTTTGTCTTTGTTATTCGTTCTTTGTTGAAAAATATATGTCTATGTTTTGCATGTGTAAATCTAATCCAAACAGTTTACACTTTTTTTGGCATGGGCGGATATTTCTTGTCACATGGGGGGAGGGTGATTTCGTAATCATCCATCGAGCTCAGCACGCGTGCTTCCATCTCAGGTGAGATCTTAACGCCGGTAGGTGTGGAGTCCGAGTCAGTGGGGCAGGCTACGGATGCACATAAAATCAGTGACTTGAAAAGTGGTGGGAGGATGAATGAACTGGGGTCACCATTTTTTTTTTATCCCAATATTAACCCCAATGATGAGGACAACGTGTTTCAACTTGAATGTTAACGGTTAACGGTGTTTATTTAGAAATAATCATCATTTATGTGGGGATCCACATTATTTACAATAATATCGTTGACATCGTGCCCCAGAGGGCGCCCTTGCCAAACGTCCTCTTCTCCACAATCCACAACGAAGCGCACTGTTGGGTCGAACCAAACCGGTAAATTACTCCTTTTTTTTCTTTACAAATTGTAACATGGGTATAATTAGTTGATAATTAACATCTTATATGATCAAGGAATTGACTGGGGTCGATAATTAGTATCAGATTCAACAGATCATGAGGGTTTTATGGACATAATTTCGTCGCTTCATTCATGCTGTTTTGGGTGTGTGAGCGACAACTGTGCACAGCTATGCTTAATACACAGTACATCACGCACGTGCTTAGTGCACGCACGATCGCATGTGGAAACTTTTAGTGACCTCAGGTCACGTCCATGGCAACCAAGTTCAGTGTATTGTGGTGCGCGCTGATCCATTTAAAACCGGCGTCTGTACAAATGACTGTGAAACATGATTATGGATATGTGCATTTTGGTCTTATACAAATGTCATGTCATTACATCTATGTACTCATTACATGTATGTACAGTGCTGCCTGCATTGAAGGCAGGAGTCCCACAAGTGTTGGGTGAGGTAAAAGATATTAACCCTAACCCTCCTCAATCCTTCACCTGTTGGAGGACTGAGGAGTGTTAGGGTTAAGTTATGTCGAGCACATGCATACATAAACACGCTAGTACATGCATTATTAGCAACTTTAACATGATTATAAACATTGTGAATTTTATTTATTCATTTAATTATTTAATATCATGTAACTATTTTCCAGGGACTTACGAGACTTTAGAGGGACTTACGAGACCTCAGTGATCTTAACGGATCAACACATGACTTCAGGAACTTCAGAGACATTTAAGGGTTATACTGATGAATCAGAATATTTCGATTGGGAATTTTACACGAGAATAAATCAAGAAGACGGACCCAAGGTATTGCTGTCCTGGTGTCATTTATTCGGAGTCCTCTTACCGGAGGACACACGTCCTCCAACACTGAGGAAGACTTCACAGTTTCTTCACCCCGAGGGACGCTGCCGCCGGGCAACGCATGCAAGCTTACATTTATAACCCAGTTTGCTGCTGCTGTCACACCTTCATTTAGGACAGGAAATGAATATCGGTTTCTTTCATGATAACGCATGCCAGGGACTTGTACATGTGTGGTGTTGACCATGCGCAATCGCCCGGGCCGTAAAGCATGCACCCGTAACTGTAACGCGAAAGAACGAAAACTCATGTTGTCCAGCTGCTTGTCCTCATCATAGTGTTCAAGTTCTAAGGGTGAAAAGCAATATCATGATCCCAATTGTTTGCCCTGAATTATTCCAAGAAATACAGGTGCTTGTCCTTACTGATATACTGACAATAATTATGACTCCTAACCCAGTTTACATCTTTTTTTTCCTATTGATACTGACAAGGTGGTTTCTGGCCCAATTGATAAATCTCTTTCCAAGACCCAGAGCACAGACTTTGTGAGTGAGCCTGCAGAGAACTTGCTCACAGGCACATTCCGCCTGGAACTCTCCCCCCCCTCTCTTGACGTAGTCTTTCGGGGAAGAGTCATATTATACGGTAGCCTACTTCTCTTCAGACCACACAGTCTGTCTGTTTTGTTTTCCTGTATTAACCCTACCGGTCCTCAATCCTCTAACTTCATTGTGATATTGACAATACCCTAGGGGGTAGGGTTAAGGGTAACATGGATGCAAATCCGAAGGGAGTGGGTATAATATCCCCCACACTTTTTGGGGGGTGGGCTACTGAATCATTCCCCTTCCCCCCACTTTTTTGTGATGAGATTTTTAAATTTCAAAATCGTCATCCCCCACCTATCCAACACAGATGTACATCACTGAAAGGTAACCACGAAAACTGCGATTCACCGGCAGGCGGGGTCTGAAGTAATTGTAGGGTTCTTTGGCCACTTGGCCAAACGGATACAGATTCGAATTTTGAATGTGATATATGGTTTTAAATTGCTTGCTCCTAAATCGCTCACCTGAAACTACACATTGTCTCTGTAGTGTGCTTATGTATGTTTTTTTAAATCTGTGTTCTCTGTACTCTCAAATTCCATGCCAGTTTAATTTTTAGTGCATGTTTTTGGCATGAGAACAATGCTAATCAATGCAAGGGATATTTCCCCCTCCAGGAAAAAAAAGATTAAGCAAAGAATCAAAGCGGGTCCATGCTTGTACGTTTTAGATGACTTCAGTGATAAAAAACTGCAACGCAGCACTTTGCACTTAAAAAGATACCTGTTGTTATTACAGCTTTGTAGACCAACTCCTGGTCCAACAGTTTTAGAAGTTTTGAAAATGTGAACTATGATTGTGTTTAGTGTGTAATAAATCATGCTGTATATTCATTACTAAATCATGTCTGCATTGTGTCTGTATTTTGAGGACTGTCATTCTAAACAGAATGCTTACTTGGAGTCTTTCTCCCTCTCTTGACAGTTGACTTCTGTATTAACGACAAGTTTTGTACACAGACGTACACAGGCTAACAATATTTGATTAATAGATAACCCAAGTTATATGATAGGCGTTGTGTCAATCTGTACCTTACGACTGTCAGAAAGTCGTATACCCTGTAGCCTTAAGGCATTTATCATTAGCCGTTATCTTTTTCAGCTAGTGCACTTGTCAGCACTGAGCTGACATGCTCATCGCACATTGACACCACTTGAGCTGGATATAACCAGTGCAAATTGAAGCACAGAAAGTGACCTGTAATAGTTATCTTGCAGCCATCTTATAGCAACTCAAATAGATCCAGTCAAAGGCCTCAATTCAATGCAGTAGGTTTGTTTTTCTTTGTTATTCCGCATTAGATTTTCTAGATGCGTACAACCATGCGTGTGAATAGATATAAATGCAGGCTTAGGTAACACGTGCATGGAGTGTCCAGTTATACCATGCTACAATGGTCCAATCACACAACACTGTTTGCCTATTACTTGAAGGTATTTTCTTTTCTTTTCTTTTCTTTTCTTTTGCTTAATTCTGAGAATGGGTTAAATTACCCCTTGAAGATTTTCTACAAGAAGAGTAGAGAAAGACATGGAATACTTCCTTCATGCTTTACAATGTTTTCTTGTGACTTCTTGCGCCAACAGGCTCTGGGAAGTTTGCGCACATTCAATATGCAAATTAATACTGGCAAGAATGTAGGTGATCAGAATACCCAATAGGCAGCTAATGACCAACGCCTTGACAAACGTCTATACTTTCTTATGGTTTTTATCATCCTTTTCCCTGAAATTGAAATTCATGTAGGAAGTCGCAGAGGATGGACGTGCTGTCCCCGCCAATGGGCAAGCTCGAGTGACGACTATAGTCAACTAAGTTCGACTAATATTTCACCCGAACGATGGATGGTTTGGACGGTCTATGCAAAATAGGCCCACCGGTTGGAGGTTTTGTGAACAAAATACGCCGAGTTGGACGCCAGAAGTCCCAAACTCGCGAGTTATGAAAATATCTCCACCCAAACAGCAGTTATTGACGTCAATGATCGTATACTAAATAACATGGACTTTGGTGAGGTAACAGCCTCTGTATTTTTAGCTCTCAAGAATTAAGGCCATCGACACCAAGGACCACAAACTTCACAGAGGGGTTTCACGGTCTACGAATATAAATGGTTTGATTCCTACCTTTCACATACAAAACAGGCCACGCAAACCGACGGCATCTCTATCGCTGATGTGACTATCAGGGTTCCCCAAGGATCAATCCTGGGACCTCTTCTTTTAATTTTCCCTCATGTGTTACTTGCCCAGATTCCAAAGTTAGCCCGTACGCAGATGGTACGGTGACTATGACTGAAGGCATCTCACCGCCTTATATTGAACGTGATGTGGCAATAACAATCAACAAAGTGCCCCAATGGCTCACTGAACACCAGCCTACCCTAAATGTGAGCAAAACAAAGTATGAACTTTGGAACTCGCCAACGGCTATCTACATTTACCAAAGTCCAGGTTGCTATTGATAGATAGCACTGCTATTGAGCGAGTTATTATCTGAGATGAGCAACTGACATGGGCTGACCACGTAGATCACCTTGCCAACGAAATCTCACAGAGAAGAGGGTTTCTTCGACGAACGGCAAAATCTAGTCTTTCTAATTTTATATTTAAGATGTTAAGTTCCGCTATGTTAAGTTCCGCTATGGTTCTGCCGCTATATTTCATTACTGTGATGTGGTTTGGTCCAATTGTACTCACTCTCATTCGGACAAGTTGATCAAATTACATAATCGTCTTGCTAGACTGATTCCTAATGCTCATCCTCGTAACTTGTATCAGTGATCTTCATCAGGCACTCTCTTGGTCACCATTGCCATCTCTCTGGGAACGTCATCGAATGTGTGAGGTGTATACATATCACAATAATACTTAATACGCGTTTTGAAATGCCATTTCCTTCTGCTAATACTCGATCCAAGTCTAATGGGTTATTACGCCTCGGTAATGTTCCCAGGACAATGCCGATAGACATACGTTTCAACAGTGTGGAACCCTAGGATGAAACCATTAACTTTAGCTCAGCGGCAAGCCAAATCTCTTTAAAAGTTTTTAAATGTCTTTTTAATTAATACATTTTATTACTTATAGATAGCAATTTTAAGTTTGTTATTTTTTTCTGACATTCTAGTCCAGTTTTACTTTAAAGAACATTTTCAACATTTATATTTCTTGTCTCATTATATTTTAAGGGAACCATGCGTTATCTTTTCATTTTTACACTTCATGCACTTAATTTCTGTTTTATCTACCTTGGTCGTTTCAGTTTCTGGGTCCTTCTTTTAGTCTTTTTTAAGTGTCTTAATTTCAACATTGTAAAGGTTTCCATCTTCTCTGTAATCAGTGCTTTTTCCTTGCAGTCATTTAATTTAATTTTAAGTTTTTGAATAGCTAACTTAATTCCACTCGCTGCATTACGTTAATATCTGATAATCGAAGCAACTGCATCTGTTTGAAGTTACACTTGCTATTTCCTTTCCACGACATCTCCCTTGCATTGAGCACTTCAGTTGACCATATTACTTTATACTCTACTTTTTACTCTTATGTTTACAGTTTTATGTATTTAAGAACTGTATATTTTTGTTCTATTCTATAATAAGCTAGAAATAGTAATCGCTACTATTTTTCATATTATTACTAACAGGGCCTCCGTGGTTATTAGTTTCTTAATTGGTATATGGACCAATGGTCCTATCACTCCATGTTTGCCAGTTACTTAGACAGTAAGCGGTTTTCTGTCCTACGAGTGTGCGACAATGGCGCCAAGTACACAAATATATCTCGAGGGAATGAAATCATCATTTCTAGGGAACGAATTAGCATATTTCGGAGGAATGAAATATTAATCCGAGGGGACGTAATTGTGTCTCGAGGAAACGAAATCTCTTATTTCGAGGGAACGAAATATCTTATTTCGAGGGAATGAAATAATGTTTCGAGAGAACGAAATAATGTTTCGAGAGAACGAAATAATGTTTCGAGAGAA